AGTCAGACGAAAACCATGGTCTCAGAAAAGAGAGCAAAATTAAAACTGGTTTGAAACATTAAGAACCAAATCAAAGTTTGAACTACAACAGTGACAGGTTCTCAGGGTTAAAGATGCCTTGAAATTTTCACCTGTCAAATGAGGTTGATTTCCACACAAAGTCCACAACAAAGTTATGAGTACATTCAACTGGGGCACCCAGATTGCTGCGCAACTCAATCCCCACTTCCTCACCAAAGTCTGATGAGCACAGTCAAGGAAATCACAAAAGTATCTGCTGGCAAAACATATGTTTAAGAAACAGGTCCTTCATTACATATACAGCTTTTCAAAAGCAAGGATACTGTTCGGCACTTTGATCACATGACCAACACCCTGCCAAGGTTTGTGTAATTCTCCAACATATCGCAGGCGGAGCTCATCACCAGGCATCAATCTCATGTCATCATTTGTCTTGGGAAAGGAGAAGTATGCAATCCTTTTCTTGTTGAGACCAATGTCCCAACGAACAACAATGTTATCTTGAGTCTGTGGAAATGGAGATTTACATGTAATCAGGCAATAGTAGGGAAATGTTGCTGTAAAGTACTGATAGATGGAAGAATTTGAAGTCAAAGTATCAATTAATTTTTTAGAATTGGTAAGTCTGCTGTTAAGCTAACTCTACCTGAGACTCTTTCAGCTTCTTGTCATAATCTGCTTCCAGTTTAACCAGTGGGCCAAAGATGTTTTGATATTGGTAGGCATCCTCATACCTGAACAAAATATGACATGGGAAGGGTGAACACCTTTGTCAATAAAGGGGAAAGATGGATTGAAGGATAAGAGGTACAGATAAAAGGAATTATAATTTTTCATGTTTTACATCAATTTAATAACTGCAGCCACAGACCTGAGAAGAACTTGTTGTGGTTCATCATCAACTCCTGGTTTATCCAAATCTTCTAACTTAGCTTCAGGATTATCCTATGAAAAACAACCATCACACAATTAAGCCAGAGACAGAGCCCAATTACTACAATAAAAAACCCAACAATCAACTACATTCATCCCCAAGGTGGTAATGATACATTTGCATTGGGAAAAAAATTCAAACATTACTCAAAAAATGTACAGCACAAACCTTCCACAGTTCTTCGAGCTTGTTAATCTGTTGTGCAGAGATCTGTGAGATGTAAAAATGTTGAATGAGTGCCACATTCATTAACTGTTGGACAACCTATGTGGTTTAAAGGGTGTTTGACAACTGCATCACTAAGGGGAGATTGAGTGCCTGAAACATCCAGGAGCTTCCACTATTGGCAGCCAGCTCCTAGATGGAGACTTCTCCTATGGCTTGCAAATCCTGGTAACCCAGCCATGAGCCCCAACACAGGAAAGGGAAACAGGCACCTGTAACAGTGAATAAACAGTGGAAAAGGGTGGGAAGGGGTGGGGAAACCTGCCTAGATGATGAGCTAACACTCCTCACAATGCTGCCAGTTCATGATCAAAGCAAGCGCAAAAATGCCTCAAATGAAGAGCACATGGAATTCTGACACAAATGCATATGCAAAAAAACGCTGATACTCTTTGTTGTTAACTCTGTTAAATTGAATAAATTGCATTTTAATCAAGGGTGTCACTAACTTTTAGCAACTGGGCATGCTGAATGTAAAGCTTGATCACAGAGCCTTATTCCCTTTCCTCAGGTACTCCAGAGACACATATACCCTTCCCTGTGACATTATGAAATTCTTCAGAGACAGGGATGCATTTCCCTGAACTACCACACCTTAGTAGCCAAAAAATAGGTACAGAGTAAATTAAACCAGTAAATCTCTTCATTTTTGATAATTTAAATATATTTTTAGTTTTGAGAAATCTCATGAGGAAAATAAGGGATGGAAACTGAAACATTCTTCTTCTTGTGGATGAGCTGCACAAAATTATTTTCACAACAACTAAATTTTTCCAGTGCTCTATCATTAATAATCAAATATGAATGTCTACCTGTCTGGCTCGCAGCTGATCCTCATCAGGTGGAACTTTAACAAGCCAGGACAAGAAGCACCTATCATTAATCAGAGGCTGCCACTGTGCCTGGTCCCTAAGTTTTAACAAAGCAAGTGTCTATATTACCAGATACACAAAAAAACAGAACAGTTCACACTAAATAGTTTCCACATTAAAACAGACCTTTAATTTGCTCAACAAGTTTATTTTAAATCACAATTATGTCAATAGTAGAGTGCATTAAAGCACCAACAAAAAGTGAGAATATCAAAGCAGGTACTGAATAGTATGAAGGCCATGTTCAAGTTCCTGTTCAATTTTTTTTTTATGAGAATATTATACATACCAGTTCATGTCCTTGGAGTTACTCTGTGTAGCACAGGGTTGTCTGAAGAAAGATACACAAGTGGCAAAAGTAAGCAAAAGGAACCTTGTTGTAATTATTTTGAACTTAAAATTTACTAAACTCAAATCATAATGGAAAGAATAATTTTTTTGCAAGAAATTGGAAAACTTTGATAGCAGAACCACCTTTATTCTATCAACATGTTCCCTAGTATATCAAATTTCCAGGAATTACTCTTTGATGAATTCAAGAAACAATTCTTCCTAGATACACATATATAAAAGAAGCTTTACAGACCAACTAACCTGCACAGTAACACCACAACTGAATCAGCCTTGGCAGGAATAAATCCCAACAAGAAGACATTGCGGCAGCCACAGTTGTAGCATTCCAAGATTGTCTCCCCTAAAGGACCATCTTTGTGAAGTGTCACCTCTTTGTGCTTGGCTCTTACAAGGTGGTTTACAATATGACTGCAAAGAAACACATACCAATTAAAGATAACTTCCTGACTCCATATCCAAGTTCAACCTCTTGTTAAAGCATTGCTGCCTGTTCTTTGGCAACTCTCACATGCAACTCTCACAATGCTTCTCTCCACCCAGGTTTTGTAAATGGATAGCATCCATAACTGTTAGGGTATCCCAACAAAATGACAAGGGGGGGGGGAAGTGGGGATAAGCAGCATTGAACTAGCATCAATCCCATCTGAGGGGATGCACACCTTTCCCTGATTTATTCATGCTTCAAAAGCCAAGATAAGTTCTCACAGTATGGGCTACTTAGCCAGTCAGATGCAATCTATTCTTAGTCTCTACCACTGTTCCAAATGAGTGCATGGTAGACATGCACTTAGTGGAAATATCCTTCATAAAACCATAACCGAGTTGAAATTTGTTCCACAAACCTGCCTGCAGTGTTTCCTCGCCCATTACAGAACCACTTCTTGCACTGAATGCACTGCACAACAGATGCTGGGTCATGAACTCCACAATACCTGCAGGTATAATTGATCAATATTATAATTACATGTAAGTTGGTTCGCTCGGAAGTGCAAATCTATAAATAAATTAATTATAATGATCTGGATCATGATAACCCTGATAATGGTAATAGAGCAGTTTTCAATTTAGTATTGATGATAAAACCAAATTGCTTTGATTACCCCAGATAACTCAAACCAATTTCTTAACCAATCTTGATGTTTTCCTGATAGGATGTTTCCTTTGCTTTGATTGGCCAATGCAATTTTCTTTTGGTTTTGGTTTTACAATTCTCGATTGAAATGCACCCCTCCGTGTAGTTCACAATTAAAACATCATTGATAAACAAACACAATTGTAAGAGGCTTGAAAATAAATATATTGAAATATATCTGGTCAGGAACAGCTGTGTGTTAGCCTCCAGGCTACTAATCTTGCTACTTCCTGTTTTCTAGATAATATGTATAAATTATTTGGAGAAGTTACATATTTATCACTTTTGGGAGTTAAAGGATTAATAGGGAATTATTGAGTTTCTTAACATGACTACAGCCATAAAAATTTTCTCCAAAAAAAATTTAAAAATGCCCCATTTAAACTGCAACCTAATTTGGATCACAAAATGTAGTCATATAACTGGGTTTCTTCTTTTTTTTTTTAACCGAGAAAAAAAATTGAAGTCTGTGTTTAGGTGCTGCAAATTATTTTCAATTCGTCAATTACGACCTTTGGGTTGTGTAAGATAGTGTTATTAAAGAGTTCAGCTCAACTTATTAAAATAGAAAAGAAATTTTAGACTAAAAGAGAACAAAGCGAGTTGAATTAATAATTTGCAACATTTTCAAGTTAAAGAAACGACATGATTTTTTTTTTTAAGCGGGTCAAGAACAGCTGAATCTCGCTCCATGCCGGACATGCAGTGTCGGTCTAGGTGAACACTTGTAAGCCTTTCTTACATTATGGAAACCCATTTTCCCAGATTTCACTTTGACGAAAAACAGAAAACAATTTAAGATGTCTGGGAAAACATAATTATGGAACCGTTAAGCAGTTAACTGAATATTTGATTTTAACGTTGAACGCACCTGCAAGCGAAGGCTGGAAGATCCTTCGAGTAAAAAGTCTCGTCCTCATCTTCTTCAAAGTTAAGCTCCCCCAAAGAGTTGCTAACCTTAGAAACGGTACCATCCACCTTAGCTTCTTCGTTTCCTGTTGTTGGGCCGTTAGCTAGATCTTCTTTTTTGTCTGCGACGTTGCCATTGACCAAAGGTTGGCTCGGTTCAGGTTGTGAAGCTTGAGATTGGGTTTGGGTTTGCGAAGGTACTGTAAAGTCGTGAAATTCGTACTCGCTTCCTTGTGTGTCCGCACCGAAATCAGCTTCTTCAGTGTCTAAAAAAGTCAAAGTTTGAGATGCAGGCCCGTAGGAGTCTACAGTGCTCATCTTTCAGACGAAAAAAAGTAAAAACTGTCTCAGTTGCGACAGTTAAAACGAAAGTATCGGAGGATTTTGAAATCTATCGTAAGAACGTGGCCAAGATGGCGACTTCAGCCACGCGATTCCAATTTCGCAATACGTCCGTGAAAAGATCGGAATTTCTCGGTTCCACAGACATGTCTTCGACTTTCCGACTTATTATCGACTTGAACGGTATCTGTAGAACATTTCCCATCATGCCATAGTTTTTCAAGATGGCGATAGTTGCCTAGCTGGGGTTCAATGTATCATTATTTAGTCAATTCTTCACGTCTTACCGGTATTTTCACAATTTGTCTGTAGTATGATGAAAGAGACCTCTGAAATTTGAAAGAAAAGATTAACAGACTGTTTAATTCAAGTTGGAAGCTCTAACCTTTTTAATTTTTAATTTAGCGTCATCCGTATCATAGATGTCCCGTCTACACAATTTGTACGTAACATCTCGTCACTTCCTGCAGTCCTTCGCTCCAAAAATATCCGTACAACGGATTTTCGGGGCTCGTTTTTTCTGCGAGAATTCAACTCCAAGGCCTTCACCCAAAACATCGGCGCAGACTTTTGGAGTTTTGTTAGACATCGACGGAGTTCTTGTCAGGGGCCGGAACCCAATCCCCGGAGCGAAAGAAGCCTTGAGACTGCTTCAAAAGTCGGATGTTCCTACAGTTTTCTTGACAAATGGTGGCCTTGAAATGGAAAAGGAACTGGCGGAACATCTTTCAGATAGGATTGGCTTTGAGGTAAGTTATTAAAATATATTATTGGCGAGGAGTGGCTTGGTGAATCATGATGGCTTAGTAGATCGATAAGCGAAAGAAGGGTAGGGTTAGTAATTTACCATTTGAGAGGGGTTGCTTTGTTCCTCAAGGTATGTCTCTTTATTATTGTTTAACGGTGAAGAAATATTTTTTAACTTTTAGGTACGAGAAGATCAGATGATTTTATCACATACACCTCTAAAAATGTTTGATTGGCTTCACAACAAACATGTTTTGGTATCTGGTCAAGGAAGTGCTAAAGAAATTCTTGAAGAGTATCCTTTCACAATATATCTTGGGCACGTTGCTGAAGTTTCAGTGAGCTGGAAGATTAATAATGGTGTACATCTGTCCAAGAACAGAATATGTTTTCATGGGTTGATTGCAGACCAATGCTCCACATTCGCACTGACAGGCAAAAAAAAAATTGAAATTTCTGGGAAATGAAACACCCATGATGTGTCAAATCCATACCAAAGTGGAACATATATATATCTCTGGGGTGGAAGAGGAGGGGAGAGTCAGGGTTCACTTAGACAAGTGCATTACACTATTGTATTTCTTAATGAAACCTCTGGCTAAAGTTGTTCAAAGGGTGAATAGTGCTATACGCTAATTATTGGATAGCACACTACATTTTGTTAACACTTATCCATTGGATAGTGATTTATCTGGTAGATAGCGTTATCCACACCTTGAACAACTGGGCTCTGATGTTCAGGAACATCAATGAGCTTTATTGGCAATATGAGCTTTTTGATCAGCATGCAAACTATATCTTTTTCACCAAGTGTAGTGGAAACTAGGAGTTGTTAGCATGTTCATCAAAAAAGTCAAAATAAGACAAATCAAAGCAATCAAGGAGATGAATAATGCTACTTTCGTTAACTTACAAAAATAAGATATGGATTTACCAAGGTATCTGATGTTGAAGATGTGCGAAGAGCATATCCATTGCTGGACATGGTAGACAGGGAACGTAGATATGACTTTGCTTCTGTAAGTAAAAATAATTTATTCAAACAATTGTCTATCTGCCATTTAACAAATAGATTCCTTGTTGTTGTGTATCTGTTCAGTAATAGTCAGATCCACACAATGTCATTTAAATTGATAAGAACAAAAAAGTGGCAGAATCTTAATGCTTTTATCTTAAAAAATAACAAATGCTGTTAATGGTGACGTAATTTATGGGTTTGTCCTCCAAAATATTATAGGTGAGAATGCCATATAATATAATGTAAAATAATTGTCATGAAAAATGTTTCAAGATTTGGGAAATGCATTAGAAGTTATACTATGTTACCTTTTTTCCTTTACTTATAACCTAGCATTTCTAATAACTTTTTAACAATAAAAGAAACTTAGTAGATTTTGCTCTTTTTTTCAGCTTGGTTATGCTCCTGAAGAATTTCCACCTATTGAAGGTAAGTTTTAAGTGAAAATTTATTTGTAAGGCATGCATGTGTATGAGTAGGCTATTCATTCACCTTTCCCATTCAGGTAGGCTATCCATGTCTTTTACTATAATCTTTTACACTGGAATTATGAAAAAGAATTACACTTTTAACTCAGGAGAAAAATGCCGAGGAATCAATGCTGCTGAGACAAGCTACTTCAGTTGTTATTTTGAATGTGTAATATTTTTCATTTCTCACAAATAAGTCTTATATTTCTGCAGCCATTGATTTATGATTATTATTTTGATTTTTACACGTATCATTTCTATACCAATATTTTCATACTTTATAAAAATTACACTGCCATTTATTTACCATGTTTCACACCCCTTTTAACAGTGTGTTTTATTTACTTAACCCTTTAACTCTCAGAAGTGATTAACAAGTAACTTCTCCATATGGTATCCATACATTATCCAGCAAACAGGTAGTGAGATTACTCAAACTTATTAGGTACAAGATATTATCTTGATGGAATACCAAATTCTCATAACCAATTCACAAAGAAATGTAGAGCAGCTGGAGGAGAGAATTAACTATCAGATCCTGGGTTAAACCTTTGGATCAATATCAGTATCTGGGCAACTGCCCACCTACCCCTCCCCTAACCCAACACTAACCCTAACTTGTTATCAATCGATTGTTGTTGAGTTAGGGGAGGGGTAGGTGGGCAGTTGCCCAGATACTGATATTGATCCAAACCTTTTTCCTACAAGTGTTTTGTGTCTTGTATTTTCCTTTAGCATTGTTGTAGATGCTCGGAACTTGTTGAATAGATTATTCAAAATTAACTTATCTTGTAGATAGAAATAAGAGAGATGGTAAGTTTTTTTCTTTGTCTCACGCTCGTGACAAGACAAAAAACATGTTTTTTTTATTCCTTTATGAACTTATCTTTCAGTCACACAATGCAAGTTATTTAACCTTAGCCAGCCAAACTAACCAGGTCACAAAAATACCAATTTTTATCTGTAATAGGTAAAGTAATTTAATTACTTACATTATATTTCCTTTTTGTCCTATATAGCAATAGTATTGCTTGGAGAGCCAGTTAGATGGGAAACAAATCTTCAGTTGGTTATTGATATGCTTGTTACCAATGGAAGCCCATCATCTAGTGTGCTGTCTATACCAAGCCCCCATATTCCTGTAATTGTTTCAAATACAGATTTAATATACATGGCGGAAGTTTCATTACCCAGGTACATATAAAGAGTGATGATTTTGTCAGAATTGAAACATAAATTAGTTGTCAGTACTGATCTTAGCATTTAAAACTTTAACCTATAATATCATTTAAAAATTTCAGATTTGGACATGGTGCTTTCTTGCTTAGCTTGGAAAATCTTTATAAGGTGTGAAGATATCTGTTATTTATTTTAGCCCTTAAGGTGTTTGTTAAATGTAACCTAAGGACTGTTATAAAATTGATTGCTAGTGCCATGTAGTTGCTGTTGGCATTCCATAAAGGATGTATTGAGTAGATAGAACCAAACTGGTGTAAAGTACTACTATTGCACAGTTGTTGCTAGACATTTTAAAATTGAAAACACCTTCAAAGAATTTTTCATGCAAATAATTTGTCCATGTGCAGGTTTTTTTTAGGTTTTTTCAGTTTTTTGGTGAGTCACTTTGTAGAAGTTTATTCATTTGTGATTTGAAAGTTTACTGCTTTTCTGTGTGCTGTTGTTTTTTTGTCTGTTTCCTAGAGAGTTTGATATTTAGGAAAAATTATTGATTTCATCTCTAGATGTTGATTGGAGAATCATAAGATTCTTTAGTGTCACAGCCAGTTGAAGTTATAGTCATATGTTGTTTCAGAGAATGTTTTGTCTCTGAGCCATAGAGAAATCTTCCACCTCACCAGAAATTTGCCTTTTGCTATACATTTCCTTTTTTTAATGACTCTCATTTAAGGAGAACCAGATAGTCTGCTGTTGGATTGTAACAGTCATCGGATATAAAATAGTGATATTTTTCACTTGCTTGCATTAAAACATACTCCTAAAAAACTGTAATATTTTTGTTTCCAGAAACTGACTGGTCAAAAATTGGTTTACTCAGCATTTCTAGGAAAGCCATACTTAACAAGTTACCAGTATGCAGAATACTGCCTGAATCAAAACAGTGGAGGAGCATCTGGCAATCTGAGAACACTATATGCTGTTGGGTCAGTGCAAATGTACATGCATCATGGTGTAACATAGAACTCTATTACATAAAGCAAATGATGATGTATTCTGAAAAGAGACTCCATATCTTAGCTTGCCCACGTGTTATTCTCCATTAAATTTACTTAATTTTCATTTTAGTGACAATCTGGATACAGACATTTATGGAGCCAATTTGTGTCATGAGTATGTAAAGGTATTTGATGATGGTAGTGAAAATATTAATACTTATGAACATCAGCCAAATGACTCCTCAAGTCAACTGGAACAGAATACATTCAAATGGTTACCTGGGGTTAGGAAAGTAGAATCAATTCTTGTCCAAACTGGTGTATCAACTCAAGATAATGACAACCAGCCTTCAACCAAGGAAGATGCTCGCTATTTACATCGCGACACTCATTTTCATCCTCACTTGAGGAGAGCAAACCATGTTGTGGAGAATATTGCCCAAGCAGTTGAACTGATCCTAAAGCAGGAACAGATAAATTCCCAATAATGATGCAACAATGAATATGTATAAAATGGAGTGTTTGTAAAATTAAATACATTTATTCTTATAAATTCCCAGAAAAATGATGCAAAATATTTCATATATTATACTAACACAGTATTTTTGCAAATTTATAACTTGTCTTCAATGTAGGAATGGTAGATAGTAATTAATTAACTAGTATATAGAAATATACTGGTAATGTGTCCTAAGGTAACCTGCTTAGACTAATTTTAAAATTTCTACTCTACACCAAATTTCAGTGGGAATGGTTTTTGATTTGATTAATGGAGACAAAATAACATTCCAGTCGTGACTCATTTATTGCTTTAAAACAATTTACTTGTGTATTACATCTAGTTAAGTAACTTTTTTTCAAAGTTTCATTTGAGAAAAATAATGATATTTTCAATCTAGGATAGGGCTTTTTACTTTTATTATCATAATGGCAATACTTAAAAAATTTATATATATATTTAGAAATTCAACCCACAAAAACACATTATCGTCAGATGATTACATTCTTAGCTTTCGAATATTCATAGAAATTTCATGTTTTCATTATTAATTTATTTAAGATGCATCATTGTTTTCAAAAATATATTGTATAGTGGTTATATTATTTATACAATTAGCTCTGAGTGTTGGAATTTTTTTTTAACCCTTTAACTCCTAAGATCTCATTAGTAATTCTCCTTACTGTCTGCCTTATAGTTCTTGTGATGTTAGTTTGGAGAATTTGATATTGGATCAACTAATAATTCCCTAATTAATATTTTTCTATATTCTCATTATTTGTCTGCTTGACACTGTATTGATATTGTTAGGAGAAATTCTGTCTTGGTCACTCTTGGGAGTTAAAGGGTTAAGGACAGTGTTGTGTTTCACAAGGTTTTATTTAGAGGAAGATGTTACCTTAATTTTAATCTGTTTTTATTTCTTGGGATCACAATTTTGTGTTAAATATTTATTTAAACATGAAGAATAAATTGTTTTTAATATGCTGTGAAATATTTTATGATTACTTTGCTGCAATTTGACATTATGTAATACGTAATGGAAACTGTGCGATTATCAAAAACGCTTGCCATTTTGGCGGGACCACGGGCTGAATTCCGGAATCTCCTCGTCTTGGACGCGAAACCCAATCTAGTCCCCTTCTTAGAGGGATCGAAAAATGTAACGGAGCGACGTTAAACGCTCACGAAACGCAGAGTAAAACGCAAAAAAAAAAACGCGATAGCAAGAACAAAGGAAAGATGACGTTTAAATTGTCTAGACAAGATGCCAGTCTGTCTCAGGATGTAGGATGTACTAATTATTATCTCCTAATTGATATCCTCATGTTTCCCACACAGTTTGTTGTTGCCCATTTTTAAGTTTGTGCTGTTTCGTTTTTGTCGTAATTTTACCTGTGGATTTGTATACAATGACATGAGTAAAGAGACGCGACATGCTGTTGTCGAAATTATCTACTTAGCCAAGATCTTGAAAAGAGACTAGTACGTCATCTAAGAAGGGAAATCCCTTGAGAAGACGTTTATCAAAAGGTTACCTTTCTAAACACAAAGGTAGTGTAATGTTGTTAACTAATGCTACGATATCGAAAGATATGTCGTCGAAATTGTCGTTGTCATTTTCAAGATGCAACAGGCAGCAGAAATCAAACCAAAATAACACAGAAGGTATCTGAGAGCGCCAGGGTGTGCCCAATTTTGTTTTCTTTTTTCTCCATTTCGCGTGCTGAGATTGATACAGACACTTTTCGGGGTGAAATTTTGACCAAGGAATTAAAAGAATGCTTCTATTTTGGATTATGTAATGCATCTGAGACAATCAAAGCCTTGTTTACCATTAAAGTACCAAAAGAACATTTCCGATCTTAAACATCCATCATTTTAGCCAGAAAAAGTAATCACCCGTTTATTTATAGCAATAGAGAGGAATTTTCGGTGGTCTTTCATTCCACAGGGACGCCGCAAGAACGGAATTCTCCAGTCACCACATCTCTCCCATCCTCGACCTCGGGATTCACTCGTGAGAGAAGTACCTTCCACAAGCCTTGCGGAAAGCATATATCCAGTGTTGCTGATAGCATTTAAAATTATTAAAACGGCGTAACGTAGTGTTGGTTGGTTTCTTTGAACTGCCACACTACTTTAGAATGCTCCAAATGCTTTATTCTTCTACGTTCGGGTATTGCGTGACAAACTCTTCAAAAGACGGATTAAAAAAAGGCGCGCCGAGTTCATTGTTACAGTACTTACGTCACCGTCAAACAACTATTGCTTGTGACGATCACGAAATCTTTCGTTTCGACTGTCAACAATTGTGCACGCAACGAGTGCATCAAATAGGGAACAATTCATTAGGTACATTTACTTGCGTCGTGCATCTTTCTGATTGAATGTAAAAAAAGGAAAAGGACAAACAATCAAACAGGCGAAAAAAAATTTAATGGGGCCAGTTAGTCACGTTTTGACATGAAAAAGCTGCACTCAGCTGCGCGGTTGGTAAAAGTGTTAATATGCAGTTGACAACTGTCAACAGTCGTGAACTGTCTCGATTTGCGTGTACAGTCTACGAAGGTTACTTTATTCCCACATATTGCTCTATTAACTCGAGACTGAGCTGATGCTTCCGATGATATCAATGAAGCAAATGTCTGACGCTCGAGTCGTTTACGCTGTCAAAGGTCGAGTAGATGCAAACATTTATAAACACGTAGAATTCAAAATGCATGAACTTGGCCTCTGTGAGACGCGTGGCGTGATGGATACATAGGTGTGTCGGAAACCTAGCGACGCAAAATTTTCAATTACCCCTTTATACAAGCTCTCAAAAAGTGTGGATGGTGAACATGTGAAGGTTATGAGATCGGTGCAATTGTGAAAGTTTTCAAATGAAGCACGTGTTATAGCCTAGATACTTGTGAATGGTCAATATGTGATTTTGTGGGTAGGAAGTCGAAAAACTTACTAATTTCCCTGCGCACAACTAGTGGGCGTATTTATGACATTTTGGCATTATGTCAAAGTTTGTATGCTCAAAGCGCGGCAGACTGATTGATACAATTATTTTCAGCAGATAACAATCGACGCCCAAATTTTACCTACAGCGATGTTTGCTTACTATTTGTAGGACTAATCGAGTTTTTGATGTGCGTAAAAGCCCTGGCGTTAAGCTCGATTTAACAGCAAAGTAGATCCCAAAGACAAAGTATTTTAAGAGAAAATAAAGGTTAATTGTGTAAATCGAACTCGGTTGGATCCTTTAGAGTCGCGTTGTCCCCTGATTAGCCTCTGACACTTAGGTAATATATGCGAGTGCATAGTTGCCATCATGATATTCTTTAAAAAGCTTCTCCACGTGCATCTCGATTTCGCACTTGATCGCATTCCACGTTTTAATTGTATTTGTTCCTCGGACTGTTGAATTACATTTTTTGCGGTCTATTTGCCCTGTTGCCGACACAAAGGGGTGCTACTGTTCCCTCTAAGCACCGACCTGCACCAGGTGAAATATCCGTTCTCTGGTTGCTAAGGTGTTTATTAACCTGCAAGGCAATTATGATAAACAAGGTAGGCGTGACATAGTTTGAGGTTTCTTCAATCAAAAGGGACAAGTAGGCCAGTGAACAACCACCAGCAACTTAAATTCTTAATTTTTGCAGAAGCCCACTATAAAGTCATCAAGATGATTTATTAGTTGTGTGACTTTCTGTGATTTTGTCGGAGGAATGACTGAAGCCATTTCAAATTCCCTTTCTCATTTTTTTTTTGTCTCCCTTGGGGGTTACCGGTGGCTCACGCCTTCTCTTTGAGGTGTAAACAAAATTGTTTTGCACGAAATCCGCTAAGTAAATGAGTGGCAAACACCGACGGACACGATGCTGTTCTCTTGAAGCACAATCGGCGCCCGTCTTCCGCTACCACGCAACCCGAAATCCGCAATCCATCAAAGGGCAACTCAACAAAGGAAATTTGAATTTCCGATATTTCAACCGGGGCACTTGAGAGGTCGTCGGATAAAAATATATATATTTATGTTTGTCAATTTCAGCACGTGTACTTTTTCGGTTATTGAACGTAGCGACCAATGGCTGTGCAGAGATTAGCATTAATTAGCTTAGCAGGATTTTGTTGGCCACGCCTCCCGAACTCGGAAACGGTTCTTTTGTTGTCAGAGAACGGAAACAAAACCCACTTTCAACCCAATCCAGCTGTTGCCGTCACTCGCAAATATTCAAACTCGGGGAATACGCACATGAATTGGTCATAACCTCCTACGCTGGTTCGCGTCAAGAACTGTGGTCCTTCTCGCGCTAATCTAATCAATTTGAGCTCTTGCTCGACTTTCCTTTTACCTTAGACACAGACTTCTACTATTGTGAGGTAATAGAGTTGTTCCTGTCGTAAAAAAGCGGAGAATCATCGAGAGGAAAATTAACCGGTGATTTTGTTGGGGATTGCGTGTGCCTATCTGGTGTCCAACAGCGTCGATTTGTAAAGTCTGAAGCGTAATGGCGGCTACTCAAGCTTTCTTTTCATCGAGCGTGGCTCTTGATACACTTTCTGCGGCGCGCTGTTTACTCGACATGTCAAAAATTTTTCCGAAGAAACCCGCGCCGGTGCACTCTGAGAACACGCCATCGTCTCCTTTGTTGATGTTCGCGAAAATCCTGGCCTCGATGGAAGAAGAGTGCTCGCTGATAAAGAAACATTCATGTCTTGGGAACACTACGAATCAGACATCGAACCTGAAGGCAGGAGCCGGCTTCGGAGTGCAGTTCAAGGAAACAGAGCGCGAAAAATTTGCGACTGCTGTAACCCCGAAGGAGAATGGTGGCGTTACAGGATACTGTAACGACGACACGCCCTCTGAACTGTCCACGAAACCAAAACAAAAGACCCGGCGCCGAAATTCACGCAGGAGAAGCGAACAGGAGAAGAAAATTCACGCTTGCCACTACAACGGTTGCGATAAAAAATACGGCAAGAGCAGTCATCTGAAAGCACACCTCCGTACGCACACGGGAGAACGCCCGTTTCATTGCACTTGGACTGGCTGCGAGAAAAAGTTTGCTCGCTCGGACGAACTCGCACGGCATTATCGCACGCATACGGGTGAGAAACGCTACGTTTGTGGCATCTGCAGTAAGCGTTTCATGAGGAGTGATCATCTCTCGAAGCACGCAAAAACGCATGGATTGAAATCCCGCAAAGAACTGGCGAGACCCACGAATCCAATGTTCTTTTGAAGTCGAACGCGGTGGGTACGCGTTGAAAGAAACAACTGTGCGAGAGTTCGCGTGCAATTTTAGTGTCAGCTGCAAAGAATGGTCTCCCGGTCGATTTCTGCGGCGAAAACTGTGTGATAAAGTGGAAAATCAGTAGGGGACATTTTATAATAGAAGTCCAATGATGTTATTTCAGCTAGTAGGTTCTTCAATTGCTTTTGTTCCCAGACAATTGTATTTGACATATTCTAAGAAGTTTACGAAAACGCAGTCCAATCGACGATTGATTTTAAATTCTTTTGGAACAATAGTCGGTGATTTAGGCTCATTTCATCGTAAATTTTAATGTTGGACATTACAGAATTAAAAAAATAATTTTGTAGATTGAAAAGGTGTTCATTACACCCTTTTATAAAGTATGAATAATTTTTTTTCGTAAACGACAAAGTTTTTAATCTAACGTGTGACACACCTGTGTTAAAATTCAGCTGGACTGAATAAACACGGGCTACCTTTCATTAGATCGCTTTGTTTGAAACTTGAAATGACAAGAAACCACGCACACCGAGGTGAATGTTTTAATAAAAATTTCCTTTATGATTGTATTACAATAATGCGTGAATAATTTTTACATCTTCCTCTTCTCGATCGCCTGTCACTGACGAAAGCTGAAGTTGTTTACTGCTGTCGACCTACACGCTTCCTGTTTCTTTAGCTTCTTACGCAATATCAAGCGCGCAACCTCTGTAAACAACTACCGGCATACGGCTTGAAATAGATATTACCATTCAAAGCCGTTGTTCAAATGAGGTTACCAATGCTGGTAAATTCTGTAATTAAGGTCTCTATCGGCTTTTTCATCTCACTGAACTTGTTTCTTCTTTACCTGAAGTGAATTTTTTTCTAGGCCTCATTGAACATGCAAATTTTCCTAATTTTGCGAGATGTCAAGGGCAAGTGGATGTATCTAAGGAGTGGTTACAACAACTACAGAGATCATGAATGGAACTGAGAACAGATATGAATGATGGGGTCGGATGAAACACAATTGCCTCATTTTAGATTGAGAAGTACTTGAATTCATGAACTCTACGATCTTAATGGTGGCACTTAACGTGATTTGAGGAAATGTTTTCAATTTTTTTTTCGATGGCGGCAAATTGGACACTTCCTCACTGATGCGTTAAAATTTGATGAGGTGGAAAGTCTTCATGAGAAAGAGAGTGATTTCTCTAGTTGAAAACCAAGTTAAGAAGTTCAAGCAGTTGCATTTGTAAGACGATCCTAACCTATGGGTTTTGTTTTCTGAGGATATAATACCCCTGACAGAACAATAGCAATTTGCCCCATGAGTGCAACCCATAGGTCCTTCATGGGTCACAGACTAGTATTCCTTCTCAAGAGAGATGAATGAGTTAGAAGCACACCTCCCTTGACAGAATTAGCAAGGTACATTTGAGCGGCTTTCTGAGTCTTTAAAAAAAACGAAGAGTGTAAGCTCGGAACCTTTAACACGAAATGTTCATTTTAGGCGCAACCTTAAGTTTACAATTCTCCTAGTTGTCTCTATGCAACGAACAGCTGCCGAATTTGAATGAACTAAACCAACGCGATATTTAATATGGCTCAATTATAATCAAATTACAACGAATTCCTAATTATTCCTAACAACAAGAAGACGCTGGGAACCCACGTAAAGCAACGAACCCTTTTTGTTGGTGAAGTCTTGTTCCTACGACGTTACATTTCTCTAGCTAGTTTCACGATGTCAATTAAGTGCTTTTCTTCCACTCTCAGCTATTGTTCCTTTCATTGTGCTAGACTGATAAACCCAGCTGCCACGCGCCGAGTTTCTTTATCCTTTAAAATCTCCATTGTCTTGAAAGGCATCCATTATTTAAATTGGCGAACTTTGTCCTACACGAAAATAAACTTCTCAGTGCCAGATCGCCCTCTTATGTTAAAAGTACACACGTGTTAGGAAACCACTGAAATGCGTTTTCACAGATTTATTTTTATGTCCACTTCCGGTTGGTTGGTAAAAGGGCGGCGAAGGTGCAAATTATCTTTTGATTGATCAAACAAAAAATTTTAGGCGCGAGAATGATTAAGTATCACCTGGGACAGCCTTGTATACCTGAATTCAACAGGTGGCTTAATTCAGCGAGCGGTTTTGCTTGTCAAGTGGACAGGCCTTTTTCTAAACGAGTTCCATTCGAAAGAAAGAAAGGGTAGATAATCAATGTTACTTCTAGCACAAGTAGAACGCGTAACATTTTCGAAGCTCTAAGCAACGTTTGTGACGGCTGAAATAAGCTATAGAGAATGAATGCTCTCTTAATTTAAAATATGCGAATGTTTCATTACATTTTTGATTACGCCAGACCAATCTTCCAATAATTATGAATTTAACTAGTCATAGTTGCAATTTTTTATCTGTAATAGCCTTAGGAAGGACGTTGCCATGCAGGAATCTTTGTTTTCCAAGGCAATTAACGAAAGAAAAAAATAGAAAATGGAAAAAGAATCGAAATAGAAAGACGAAACTGGTCTGTACTAATAAAAAATCGATTACTTTTGTCAATGAGGGTGAATCATCGCCTGCTGTTATAAATTTGGTGGAGCTTTTATTGCAGTCATATCAGCTACGTGGGGTCCAAATTTTCACTCAATTTGTTTTAGCTGGAATTTTTTTAAACTCCTTTAAGCTTCATGGTAAGAACCAGGCCATTTTATTTTTAACGTAATACGTCCATAACGGAACTGCTGTGTTGCGTCGGTAGCTAGAAAAGTGAATGAGCACGTATCTCGCAATCTTGACAATCATCCATTTTGCTTCGAAGCAGCTTGCTAGCCGGCGCTTCGACGGAGGGCCAAAGCTGGAAATACAAACGTTTCAAGACTCGCTTCAGCAGTCTATCAACCTTCATTCATCGACTCCTGGTTGCAAGCAGACTATTGGTCAATAGAAAAAGCTCGGTTGATAATCATCTAAGTGATGAAATATTTATGCAACTTGCTGGTAGCGTTTAGTATTAGTAGTTCCACCAGTTCGCCACTGGAATAATTGACAAATTAGAAATTTCTTGCTAATTATAAATTGTGAGGTGACACATGTAGCGAATTTTAGTAAAGGAACGTTCCTTTACTAAGATTCGCTACATGTGTCGCATGTAAATAATTTGAATTCAGTTGTGTAGCTTCGGACCCCGGGAGTGCCTATTCAATTTACCTGCCCTCAGACCCAGGGCCCTGACAACGTAACAGTACATATAAATATATTTTTCTATCCATTTAACGTTTTTGAGTCTCAGAGAAACGTACAGCTATATTATTATTCAATTCTGAGTTAGAGTTTTGAAATCTCGTGATAGTTCTGGCGTTAATCACGTGATGCTCTAAGTGTGGATCGTGCAAGATCTTAGGGATTCAACCTCTGACCGGGTTAATCAGCTGTCTCCGAAACGGGCGCTTTTAAGAGAATTCAGCAGAGCCACAAGTGGACGAAAGCCGCGAGAATAGAAAATTTCTGCCTGCTCCATTGCCTTCGTTTCTATCGATTGCGAGTGCATGAAACAACGTCGATTACATAGGAAATTTCAAAATTTGCAGTATTTTGTTATCCTGTCACCAGTTTATCCTGTCACCAATTATTTTGAAAATAATAATCATTTCATCAACCCTGCAGCTGCTGTTCATTAAAAATAGTCTTTCAGGAGATTTAATACGTGCTATTTATGTATTTTTTATTTTTTACTTTTTCGAGTTTAATCGATAAACGCCTTTGATCCAAGTAATGCAAAAGGTTGGAAGGTTCTCCCATTGCACTCCCAAAATAGGTGCCAAAAATTTCCAAAACTCACCAGAGCGTGGAGAAATAGGCAACTAAATTTAGATTAAACCCAAGCGTGATCCTTCCAAAATTTAAGTCAATTTTCCGAAAACGGAAGCCTTAAAGTTTCTCTTTGCGGGGGTGATCTTCCTTTCTGTTAGACATGTGTTGAATCATTTCAGCTACCCGCCCTCTAAAAGTAAACAAAAGGCATACCTAGGAAACAATGGCAAATTACGTGGGAAATGCTTCTGTAGGAAATCCGCACCTTTTTACAGTTACATCACATTTTCTTTTTCTTTTTTTTTTTTTTTTTTTTCGTTTGGGTGGGTCTATTTCTATTAACGAATACACTTCCACCAAGGACTGTCAGCTTCCGTGGCAAGCAAATGAGAGGTTTCAACATAGCTCAGGGGGTTTTCTTATTTATAAATTTCACCTGAAGTTAAAAGTGAAAACTGTTTGCCGAGAATTGTACCGTAGAAGATATTGAACAGTTCCATGCTTCTTACGAGGGGAGGGAGGGAGAGAGTGTGAGTGGGGAGCGTATTTGTCATATATTTTTTGCAAATTTAATGGCGGCTTTAAATCGGTAAACACGGTAGACTGTAACGCCGTAAATATTTTGAATGGGGCTGTATTTGGCAGGTGACTGAGGTTACTTCTGATGTTTGTCTTGGCGTGTGGTTTTTAGATTGACTATATATCCGTGTCGATTCGATCATGTTTCTTAAAGCAACGTTACGGAAGTTAAAATCGATCTAAGTCAAAGCGATTTTAACAAAAATAAGGGCTGATCGATCCATTGAATCAGGACTTGTCATACGGCAGAAGTCCATTTCTTGTCTGACAAATCGAAATAACCAGCCCACCATCGCCGGTCACAAAAAAATTGACTCTAAGGATACATAATGTCTCGACAGATTATCCCTGCAAATCCACTAAACGGATTTTATCAGCTCATAGGTGAATTAGGTCCACGACTATTGAACAGAACTGTCCAAACATTCTAAGCAGAATTTCATCGCGTTTCAGGAAGAGAGTGATTCTTTTTTTTTTAATCCTCAGTATGAATCTTGGAGCCAACATCTCACATTAATTGCAAAAAGTTATACATCGGTGAAACAGGAAGACGACTCGGTGACCTATTCCAAGGACACCTTCGCGGCGGAATAAGAAATGACAAAGACGCATTCAAACCGGTCGCTAGACACTTTAATCTCCTTAATCATTCAAACAGCATATTGCAGTTTGCGGCCTTTCCCTACGTCTACGTAGTTTGGAAAGCCTCAAAACTCGTTCAAATCGGCAGCGTTAACCCCCTATGTATCAACGAGCTCTTCATCCAACTAATTTTTTAAAATTATTTTCTCGTCACCATGTTCCGACCAATAGTGTAGTTCCATTTTCTGCAGCTTAACACACACACAACCCACAACTCTTCCATTCGCCTTAACGAGGGGCTAACACTCGAAATTTCAGCCTTGAAACTCTTAACGGTGGCCAATTTAAGTCTTCAACCCAGTTGATAATGTCAAATTACCCTGAAACGTCACACTGTCTCATTTTAATTCGCAGCCATTGTCGGTTTTGTCACGCAATGCACTATCTTTAACTCCTTCCGACACGCGTGACATCCAAGGATACTCATGTCACTTTCGAAAGACGTGATATCTTAACTTTTGTTTACTGTCTGACATCACATCAAAACAAGACATAAGAAGACAGATTAGGCCAATTAACAGATAACACTCAAAGAAATGACCCATCTTAGGAGAAAAAGATTTAATTCAGTGTCTAACAGGCACATTTGAAGCAGCTGCATCATCAGGATTTAACAAGTAACTACTGAGATACCACGAGCACCCTGACTGGTCAAAAATCTGTCGTTTAATGCACCGCTAAACTCATAGTTATTTTATAAAAGCAATAGACAGCTCGTTCTATCACTTTAGCAGCTTGATGACTTTGAAGGTTGATAGAACGCTATCAGAAAAAATTTAGCTGTCATTTCCAAACTTATTTCGTTTTCTATCAACACTTCGCGTGGGTAATATCATGGTTAAACGAGAATTAAGGGCGGTCTCGTGCTTCAGTGATACTTAGTCACTCTAAAGTTGGTCTAATCCAACTTATCTCTAAATATATATTATATGTTTAACTTTTGTCCAATCAATCAGAGACTTAAATTGTCTAGTTCCTTAGAGATACAAATCAATTGTAAATCAAGGTTTTATTTCTAAAGCTATGAAGGACAACAGAGATCTAAAATAGTAAGGACAACACACATGGCCACCCACATGCTAGGAATCACCCTTACAGTAGCAGTGTGAATCAATTTATCTCCATGTCATTCATTCAATTAGTCTCAATAACAAGGAAATATTCCAAAATGACAAGAAACATTTACAATAAAAGTACTTGCCTTCAAAATTTGACCATCATCACTGTTGAAATTGAAATTCTGGTGCATCAACTAAACAAATTGATGAAAAATTTTACAACCCTTTTGGTTTAAATAGAAATAATTTAAATCTAAAATAACTACTAAATATTCTACTAAATATTTCTTAGGTAAATGACAAAATTTAACATTTTGATTCTTATATTAATCAATTTTGTAAACATTCTAACATTCAGTGTGTAAAGAGCAAACAGCTTTGAAACACTTGGATATGACTTGAATTTTTCCAAGTAAAATTTTTTTCAATTTGAAATGGAAACTTGGAAAAATTAGCAGCAGAACAAATTTGAGGTTTGTTTACTTGTAACCCTCAATTTCAATCAATAATTTTCCTAGTTTGTCTCCAAAAATTGGATGTGATCTTAGGCCACTTCACAAGAATTGTTCCCTTTGGTATAGCTAAGAACTGCAATGATCTACTTTTCATTAATGCATCTCTCATGTAGTATGTTGCTATGATTGGTCAATTAAAGAGGCTGTATTTCACCGTCAGGCCACTAAATTCACAAGTCTGTTTTAATAAACTGATATCTTACCCCAATATTTTAACCCAGAGATGTTAGTTATAAATATCTTTCCTAACCTAGTTTTATCAGTTTGTATTTTAAGTTATGGAAGCTCAATTTTTCTGCTCAGATTTATGGCCTGCATGCAAAAACTCAGTCGGTAACATACAATACAGACCTAAAACTTGGTTAGTAAACAATTAATGGACAAGTATCAAATAAATCTAAGGATTTAGTAAAGGATGAATGTAGTACCAACTAAGTTTTCATATCCTCTGGACTAAATTTGGTTAGCAAGACTAATTTTAGACAGCTTAAGATTTTTTGTTCTCATTTTCTTCTGCCATATACTTCAATGACTTTTGATATGTTTTGTAGCATGTGGAACAATATCCCTTCTTTTCTGGACTGCCATAAAACTGGCAGTCTTTGGAGGAACACTTTATGACTGTCTGACCTGAGGTACTGTCACTTCCATTACTTGGTTTAAGCTTGACAACTGAGCCAGATGACACCGAAGAAGATTCTGTGCTATTGCCCCTACTTTTCACTGCATCACTATATGAAGGCAATTGATCTGTAGAAGGAGTATTGAAGCCATGTGTTCCAATGGTGTTGCCACAAAAATACCCATAAGGAACATACGCAGAGTATGAAGGAGGTGGTAGGTAACTTGATATTCCACTGGTGTCATAATTTGACACAGCTGACCTGTTTGGCACTGAGCTTTCAAGGTACCGACCACTCTCACTGTAAGATTTCTGAGTTTTAAAACAGCCAGAGCAAAGATAATTTGTAGCAGAAGTTCCATACAGTTGGCATCCAGGGTTAATACATGGCTGCGGTTTCTCTCCAGGGTCTAATGAACTTTTGGAAGCTTTTGCCAGGGATTTCTTCTCTTCCTCAAATCGGAGCTTTGCTGTTCCAATATAGTTTTCGATCATTTTGTCATAGTAATTTGGTTTCTTGTCAGTTTGTAGTTTTGCAACATAGACATTGTTGTGAACAACACTTCCCACAACTCCTGCCATCACACCCACTTTCATGATCTGTGTAGCAATCCAAGATTTCTCTTTCTTCTCAGCAGATTTTGAAGGCAATTTTTTGTCTACTTTTGTTTCACTATCAGCATTGCTCCCTGAAGGCTCCACTGTTTTCTCTCCTTTGGAAGCCACCTTGTTGTCTTCAGAAGTGTCTTTCTTGCTTGTGCAAGGAACTTTTATCAGTTCCACACGTAAATATTTCTTTAAAAGCTCCAGCTTTACATCCATGCTTAATGCAAAGTTCTTTGCCACACTTGAGTCACCATCCAGGTCACTCCAAACAAAATCTTCTCCTGGATCCATGGAAAACTGCAGTGGCAGCAAATCATAGTTTGGTCCTACCAGAGGCACAGAGGCTTTCACAGAATTGCTCTTAGAGTCCTTCTTTTCCTCTGAAGGCACCAAAGGAGAAAAGTGCGCTGAATCAAAAGCTAGAACCAATGGACTTTTAATGCATATACTTGGATCACACTCCAATGGAAGATAAACCCCTCCAAAGGGAATGGGTGCGATTGGTTCCCCTCCAAATCCGTACAAAAACTGGTCAGCTATGATTATAATTGGACGTCTCAGAACCTGTGCCAAAACAAAGACATGAATGTCCTCTAAGCTTTCAAATGCTCCTATCTCAGTTTCTTCAGTAATTTTTTCTTTTGAACCATCTGGTGCAGGTGACTCACTCTGATCTTCATTATCCTTCTTAACAATTCCATCTTGTTCTGCTTTTGGTGGGTCAACCACATCCTCAGCATCCTTTGCTGTGGCAGAGTCATGCGTATCCTCATTTTCCTTCTCAGCTATAGAGGCTAAAGTTGGGGCTGTCTCCCCTCCTTTTTTGCACTCTGTAGCTGCCTTTTGCTCATGATCCAGTCGGCGCTGTGTAGAGGCTATGCGTAACACCTCCTGCCATTCATCTTCCCACTCTTGTTCTGAGTAGAGCAGTCCACCAGCCTCCTTATTTTTCTCCCACTGTTGAAATCTCCAACGGCGTTTAATAGCTCCTTTGGCCAAGTGACTTGTAAGTGTATCATATAAGGCCTTGCGTAAAGTAAGGAGGCGATCTTGGAATCCCCACATTCCCAGAGAGGCAGCATGTAACAAACAGTTGCCATCTCCCACTGTTGCCAGGGGCAAAAGACGCTGGCAAACACCTGAATCAGCCCACCAGTTCAGCCGTCCTGAGAAGAGATGGAAAACAGTCAGTAAACAAAGTATGCATAGCCTAAGTTCATTGTAAATCACCTGTTACTGCTAGTTGACTCAATTAACTAAAGCCCAAGGGCGATATACTGCAGGATGATGTACCATGAAAATGTCATTCACCATGTTGTGTCAAATGGCACCTATTAAATTATATCACTTTCTGAGAAGACCATTGTAAAATTGCCTGATGCAAAGTTAATCCTCAAAGATAAGAAAAAACAAACAAACAAACCAAGAACAAGGAGAAAAGAAGTGCCATAGCAAGAGGGTTTACTCTAACTTATAATATAAAAGCCATGAAAGACCTTGAAATATATCATGCATGGAAACAAGAGTTCAAAAATGAGATTTCACAAGGAGGTTATGTTATTTTTGTCAGCTTTCAGGGGATGGAACAAAAAAGTAATCAAAAGAAGCAATACATTGCTCCTTGTTAGAGTAGTGAGGTGAAAAGATAATGTTACGGACATTTACAGTACTACACTCTAGAACAAGGTATAGTCAATAGACACTTCTACAATCTTTCAATCCCATCACTCTCATGAGAGACCAAGACGGAATTTCTCCTTACAATATCAAGACAATATCAAGTAGAAAAGTAATAAGAAAAAAGAAAATATCAATGAAGGAAATTAGTAGTTGATCTAATGACAGACTCTCCAAACTAACATCATTGAAATAGTAAGGCAGACATTAAAGAAAGGAGAATTACTATCAAGATCTGATTTATGGTTAATGTCTTGAAAAGCTCATTTCTAACTCAGCTACCATGGGTCAGAAATTTTTTAAACAACTATAGTGCTTAATTGTTAATCCACCAAAGTGTTACTGTATATAATAATATGGCTGTCAACATAAATGGGCCTATCTTCCTATAATTTTGAATATATTTGGAATATATTTGGAATTTAATTAAATTAGTTTTAATCAGTTTTCTTAATTACCAGTATTAAGTGATAGTTAACATTCTGACTGAAAAGTCCTGTTGAAGGGAGTTTCAATAAAGTATGTATGTATCTTCCCTAATAGCACTGCTTGCTTTGTCTTGCAACCTAAGATTTCATTTTGGCCTTAAATCATAACATTTTTTGGTCTCAATAGTGAAGCATTCCTCTCAGTCCAAAAACACCTTAACCTCTTCTAAGAAGGGCAATCAAAAGACATTTTGTCGTTGATTATTCGAAAATTCTCAGCACTCGTCACGAGGAACCACATCTCAGAAGTCCCGTAACGATCGAGTTATGGAGAAAAGCAAGCTTCTCCTATGAAGATGAAAAGCATCGAAGTCGTACAACATAATCTGAACTTTCGATGTGTGACTTAACTTGAATGAAAAAATTGAGAGGATGCAAACAGACTTTTTTAAACTTTCCAAAGCTTACAAATGTGTTGGAATGAAATTAATTACCCCGAAGTAAGCCTGCCTTACTGTTTACATTTTCGCTTTCTTCACAAATTGGTAAGTTTGGCATCATTTCCCGCAAAAAAGGAAATAAGTCATGATTTCAGTTTACCTGCTTGCTCCAAAGCGACTAAAGCCGAGGTTTCAATTAAGTCTCTCCGGAGGAAGTCGCTTAATTCTTCTGGGAAGTTGGACAAATCTGGTAAAACGAAAGTGAAATCGGACATTTCCTCAAATCTTTCGTATCTCTCGTCTGTACCCGGCACCTTGTCCTCTATCACTTTATGCCTAGCTTCTCCAACGATATCGGCATTAACCATCGACAGCCCACGTTTGCCTTTTCCACTCGCAATATGACTATCATCACCACACTGTCCTTTGCTTTGCGTACATGAAGCTGAAGAGCCAAGCGAAAGCGCTTCAAAAGCTGAAAGCGCTTCGTCAACATTCCAATTTGTACTCTCTAATAGGTCTCTCGCTAAGCTCGGATCTATCCCAGTCTGAGCGATGAACTGACTCAGAGTGTCATCCATTGCATCAAGCAGTACAAGTCACTGACAAATAATTTAAATTAAAAAAAAAACCTATGACACAAACCTCAGCATCTCATTTAGCTTTCGCTACAATCATCGATTTCATTTCTTTTTAGTGCCCAGTTTCCTCATCTTCATTGTCCCCCACAACGATTCACTGTGTCTTTGTGGGGGTTTCGAAAAATCGCAGAAATAAGTTTTCAAATTTTGAACATTTCCATAAATAGGATTGAGGAAAATTTTTGACCCAAAGTCGAGCAAAAGTGATCTTGCACATATTCTTACAATCGGGCTTCAAACAAGTTTTTTTTTGGTTCCCTAAAAAAACCACATTTCTTTATCAAACTCGAAGATTAGTTCCCTCTCTCTTAACATGACGGGTAACTTCCAAAGTTTGTATGAGATCTCTATCTTTTAAACGTGTTTACGTCTAAACCCAATTTCTACCTAGTAGTGGTTATCGAATATTCCGAGAAATATTTCTCCTCCAGCCCCAAAAATGATTTAATGCCTCCAAAATGTATTAATAACCTTTTGGTGGAAATCTACATATTTCTTCCCCTCTCTGGATTCATGACCATCACGTAATGTGATACTACGAGGTAATTAAATTTATGTTCATACCACAAATACAAACAGAAAAACAAACAACATAGAGCAAAATCACAACTGAAAAAAACACAACAAAAAATGAGTCAGCTATCACACTTTGGTTGTATTTCGTTGATAAAACGATGGAAGTCCTGGTTGCTTAGCCATAACAGGAGTAGATCCATTAATTTAATGATAGATGTTTACAGGTTTTGATTCTAAAACTCAATTTTTCATTCTGGCTTAAACAATTCAAGGAATATTTCCAAGACAAATTAAAATATGATTACGGGTACTTCATATTGAATAGTAACGTATGATCCTATCATTAAAAGAATTATGGCGGAGAATTCCACATCACCAGATCCTCCCCTTGATCTGACACACCTCGTTATCGATATTATATTATCTGAATAAAATACAAGTTCCTAATCAAATAGCACATCCAGGAGATCCCTACCATCACAGCTTGATAATCTTTTTAAAAATCAATTGCTTTAAATTAGTTCAAAGCAGACAAAGAAAGAGATAGAAACAGAAGCAAAGTCTCGTTATCTGCGGTGCTACCAACTCAATTTTCGCTTGAGAGGAGTCTGGGAACTAACCTTTCGTCAAGCACGAAAAGTGCAGTGTAATGTTGTTAAAGAATAAAAAACACTGTGCTAAAAAATTCACTAGTGTTTCGCTGGTACCAAACCGGAAATATGCACAATAATTGGCCTTAGGGTAATTTATTTATCATTTATTTTTTAGAAATGCTCGTTGTCTGACACACCCTAGGTGTGCTGACAAATTTCCGGCAAAAAAGATTACAGTCGAATGATTACAAAATCATGAGGGGACACACTTCCTGAAAAATATTGAGCACAGTTTTTTCATCCATATTTACCAATAAATATGCATATTGGTGATCGATAGGTCTACATGAAATGAATATGAACTCTTAGGATAAATCGAGGAGGTTGGAAACGATCTTGTTTAAAAATTTCTTCCATATATTTGGACAATTCTGTTTTCTTTTCTAAGCTTTCGCGAAGAATGCATGTGGAGCTGACACAGAGAGGGGCGAAGGACTCAAACATGTTCAAGATGCTCATTTCCTACTTTGTTGTGTTTTCATTGCATCATCAACTTTTGTAATCCGATGTTTGCATAAATATTTATGTTATCCTGTTAATTACTTTCAAGAAGCCGATCTTGTCGATACAGAAGTTCGTCATAAACAAAAATCGTGAAGCCCACACCGGCTAGGTAAGGTGAAGTTTCGTCAAGAGAATGTATTAGAGAGGAACGCGAACGAATAACACAGTCGCTGAGAGCAACAAAAAGGGAACTAGCATCTGGAGAAATATAAATTTGAGCATTATCGAAAACGAGAAATAGATTGATAAAATCAATTTATCACCGTGACGAAATTGTTCCAGGAACCGATCAGGGCGAACCCCCAGAAGGACCTGTGACGTCACTGAATCTTTTCATTAACTTATGGCAGCTGAAGATTTTGGTTAATCGTTAATTTATTCCAAATAGTTCGCTCTTCACTGAAAGTCGCTAGACAGTGGGCGAGCTTTATCCGTGGCTGGCATCCGCACCGGGAGAGTTCAACTCGCATTCAGACATGGCGAAGACATTGTTCAAACACTCCAGAAAGGGAGATATCAACGATTATTATAACATCCAGGAAGGAGAGCTAGGAAGGTACGTAGAATCGTTTGTGCAGTGTTTTGTTTCGTTCAACTACGGCCTTTGGATTTTGCAGTACAGGTAATTCGCTTTGACAGGGTACTCAGCGCATATGGTTGTCCTTAGTAATAAACTGTAGCAACATTCAGCATGTATGCTCGCGTTGATCGATCGAGTCTTCGAATGCTCATTTTTGTGTTGTTTTCATTTTTAGAGGAGCCTCGTCTGTGGTTAAGATGGGCAAGCACAAGGGGACCAAGAAAGATTACGCTATTAAGATAATAACCAGAACAGTAAGTGAATCCTTAAGGGTTTCGTTTTCTATTTTGCACACCTGAAAGATTGAACACCAATGAATCATTCCCGCAGCGTTCGGTTTCTCGCTATGTTTGTGTATGCAAAGCTGCATTTGCAAATTTATCTGTCAAAGTGTTCAACAGCGGGGAACGCGGTAGTTATGGCGAGTTAGTTGCCATGTCATCGCGGTTCTATATTTATAAACTTGCACACTTTCGTCTCAGAAAGGATCCCACTGGTACTTAAGTAAGCCTTTTAAGCTCCTTAGATTTCTGCAAAGTGTAGAATTCGTATGTAAAAGGTATAAGTTTTTTTCCTTTATTGTAAAACGTAACAATAAATTTTCTATTTGTAACTTTAAAATGTTAAAACCATCTACTGTAACCTTTTTCCGATATCGGCGCTAAGGAGCCAGTGTTAGACTAAACAAGTTGAGACAAGTATTGTATACCAATTAAATGTGATGGGCAAAAAAATCAGATCCATCGATCTTTGATCTTAAGAATGAAAGCGTAGTCGACGAAGAACCTCGAGCGCTGCAGCGTGTGGTTAAGTTGTAAACATCATCCCATGAGCGTCTTTGAAGTTGCTACACTCATTGCAGTATGAGCTCGTTATTATTCACTAATTGAAAGCATTAAGAATCTTAAGTACATTTGCTTCTTGAATAGTTCAAACGCCAGCACTTGTTGAAATATTTCAATGATCGTCCTCTACGTCATCAATAACAATTGTGGAGTTTACGTGGCGAATTTGTGTTTTCCTTGTCATCGTTCTTCGGTAGTAAGGAAAGATGCTAGTAGTTTAATTTTTATACCTGACCTATGAGACTTCCTTCTTTAGACATGCCAGATTAAATATTGTTAGAAGTGAAGCAATGTCAGAGATAAACAAAATTAGCTGGAGCTCTACAGATCTTGTATAATATCACTTTTGAAAAGGCCAATATTATAGAATTGCAAGGCTATCGATCAAAGGGACTTATTGAATTCTTTACATAGAATGTAAACTCTTTTCTTCTTTTTTAACAAATGAGAAATCAACACCCCATTATTGAGCTCTACTGGAAACCCTTGATTCATAAAGCAAGGGTTTAATTTCTTGTCTGTTCAAGAATCTGACAAAAGCGAGATAAATAATTAGTGAATATTTATGCATCAACCTTTATTTACATCTTCTGTGCCTTAGTATTATGCACTGCATGGGTTTAATTTCCCAGCTATTGTTTTTGATATGTGAAGGAGATATATTTGTTTAGCTTTATTTGCATACTGCTTGAACTCACAGTGAACAATGTACAATTATGGTAAGAGTATTTTAAGTAAAACAAAATGATTGATTTCTTGCTGAACTTTTACTCTCTCCTGTAAAAATTGAATTTGGTGTTGAATCAAAATTTTAACTCTTTCATTCCTAAGATCTTAAAATTAATTCTCCACAATGTCTGCCATGCCTCTTTTATAATTTTAACCCTGAGAATTTGGAGGAAAATTAAACAGGATCCATCAGTTGATATATTTTTTCTCCACCTCAACTTTTTGCATGAAAAAGTATTGATGTTCCAAGCTAGGAGGAACTTCTTTTTTGTCTCTTCCTGAGGGTTTAAGGATGAGGCTTGTTAATCCAAAGTCCAAAGCTTTCTAAGCGGATGTTTGGTGCTCCTTTTTAGGAGGAAAGTTTTTCAAAGAGTAAAGTAAACTTAACATAAATTTTGTAAAGGCAGTGGTCATGGACTTTGGTCATGTTTGACGTGTACATGCAATCTCATACTGTTGGATATCCAGTTCGTATGCAGCGGTGTCATTAATTTCTTTTTTAGCTTGATGCTCCTTTCATCCTCTCCAAAATCTTTTTTCTGAAAAAGATTTACAGTGTAAGAAAAGTAAGTAGATAGAGGAGGTAGTTAAAATTCTATATCTAAAGATCAATGAACGCCTTACTTGTTATTCAGCAACCAAAGGCCAGAAGGTCTGTAGTTCTCATCACTGTCGATGACTCAATTTTTCTCCTTTTAAAAAAAAAAGTGCTATTTTAAAAACTAGTTTATGGTGGTAAAAGTTGTATATTTTCATTTTTCAATGCTATTCTGAGAAGATTATTGAATAAATTTGGCTAGGAATGCTTTGGAAGAGCCTCAAATGAGATGTAAATACATTAGTTGGAAAAAATCCAGGAGTCAAAAGCTTCCACCCTATATTTGTTGGCTCTTTACTCCTGTGGCTCTGAGTTAGTCAACCACAGTTTCTTACATTGCCAAGACTTAGTTAGTGGCTGTCTGTTTCGGCTACTTGCATAAAGTCTGTATATAATTGAAGCCTCACAAACAATTACAGTACGTATTTCTTCTTTTCCTTTCATTTTGAGAAGATATTGATACCAGGCATGAAACCTTTGGCAGAACTTTGTACCCAGACATATTAATTACAGATGAACATTTTCAATATCACCTAGATGTCTGTTTTTATGGGATTAGGGTTCATATGAATATTCTCC